GAGGAAATGGCAATGAGCAGAAGGGACTGGGTCTGGAAAGTCCTTTCAGAAAATAGTCTGTTTAGGTGGAGAGAAGGACCTGTCCAGCAGCACAGGATAAGGCAGGCTGCAGCCAAGTTTCCAGGCCCCGTTTCATAGGCAGCTGGGATACGGGGATGAACGTTTTTGAGTCCCTAGGTGGCAAGAGCAGAAGGAAGGAAAATAATTAGGAGACTGTATCTTTTTTTTATTGCAGCATAAAAATATGACCACACACACACATTTATTGCATCACGGTTTCTGTGGGTCAGGAGTCCAGGCACAGCTGAGCTAGGTCCTCAGCTTAGAGTCTGACAAGGTTACCATCACAGTGCTGACTGGGGCTGGCATTCCATCTGAGGCGCATGTACGGAAGGATTAGCTTTTGTTAGCAGAATCCAGTAACTCTTGCACCAAGGACTTCAGTGTCTCGCTCGCTGCCCACCGAAGGCCGCCCTCCACTCCTAAGGACTTCTCTCAGTTCCTTCCGTGAGCATCCCAACACTGGGACCCCACAACATGGTGGCTTGCTTTTTTTTCAAAGCCAGCAAGGGAGTGAGAGACTTCCGCTAAGTAGCACTGTAATCTTATTTAATCACACATGTCCTGTCACTTTTGCCACATTCTGTTGGTTAGAAGCAAGTCACAGGGCACTCCCACACTGACGCGGACAGGACCGTGCAGGGCCATGGACATGAGGAAAACACAGACCACAGAGGGGCTACGCCAGTGAGTCTGCCACACACAGATACAGGTGATGACACAAAGAGCTCAGGGGTCTGAGCTAGGGCAGTATTAATGAAAATAGAAAGAAGAGTCAGAGTCAAGAAATTATGTCTAGGAAATGTGATTTCTTGCTCAGACTATGTGGAGTTCTTTGCATACATTACCTCATGTAAGCCTCAAAATATCTCAGGTAGGTGCCGGGAAAATCTGTATTTCACAGGTGAGGACACAGGCTTTGAAAAGTTCAGTGCCGAGATCACATACACGCTAGCTTCCGCTCTGGGTGTCCCAACCCAGAACAGAATGTAAGATGTCAGCCCCAGAGCACATAGTCTTCGCCATTCTTCTTTACTTGGATTTAAAAGTAGAGGATTTAAAGACAGATGGTTAAGAAAATATTGGCAATAACTCCAAGATTTTAGTCCTTTTAACTCAGGGTGTTAACCAAAATAGAAATGCCATGAGTGGCACCATTAAAGTAATACTTACTCTGCATACACGACATGCCAGGCGATGTGCTAAGCAATCAATACGCATTATCACATTTAACGTTCCCAGCAGCCTGTTTTCCTGTTACTTCTCCTTTCCCGTTTTACAGAGCAGAAAACAGGACTGCACCTGTGCCCACTAAATTCTAGTTTCCACAAATGCGAATGGTACTTCTTTTTGTGCGTAACCATTTTTTTTAACATCTGACACATTTTTCAATGAACAAACACAGCCAATAAATGGTAGAGCCATGATTTGACCATAGAACGGCCGTGCCCTGTCTCCTGCAGAAACCAGTGTATTCCCCTGCAGCCCTCCTGTGTCTGAGGACACAGCAGGGTATCTATCTAAGTAAGGATGTTCGGCAGACACCTAAATTCCATCAATGGAGGTTGAGAAAAAGGTCAAGGCTAGAAAAACCTATCAGGGAACATCCACGTGGAGATTAAAAAGCTCTAAAATGAGATGAGATGGTTAAGAAAGAAAGGAAAAGCCCCAAAATAGAACCTTAGAGAACACCTGTATTTAGAGGGTGAGGGGACGAAGAGGCATTTTAAAAAAGCAAGGAAGACATATACATCGGAGAGGTAAGATGGAAATACAGACATAAAAGCAAAGAATAAAGAGAAGGAAGGAGGGTTGTCAGCATCAACCATCACAGAGTAATCGGAGAGCCTGAAAACTGAGGCAAAATCAATGAATGTTGGAATTTGGAGGTCATGGATGACTTTCAGGTGAGCGGATTCAGGAACACAGAGCCCGAGTCAGTGGGCATCTGGGTGGTTGGGGGAGCTGGGCTGTGAAGGGAAGAATGGGCAGGAAGCTGGAGAGTTCACCAATACAGACTTCTCCAGGGTTTCCGATGAGCTGGGAGTAGTAACAAGAGAGGGGTGGATGTTCGAACAGGAGCAATCTTGTGTGCTGTAATCAGAAGGGAACCCCCAAGTAGGAAGAAAGATGGCAGACAGAGAACAGACTACTGATGGAATGTGACCCCAAAAGAGACAAAAGAAGAATGAGATGAAAGACCAATAGAAAGGGCAGTCCTTCGAAATGGCAAGAGAACGTTACCACTGGGGGTAGGAAATAGAGAAAAGCAGAGGTTCAGTAGAAAAAATAGAATGCGTTCACATTGAATGTTCTCAATGTTCTTAAATAAGTCATACAAGTTCTCAGTACCTAGAAAGCAGAGGTAAAGATTTCAGGACTACAGAAGAGTAAGAAATATATAGAGAGAGAGATTTAGATTTTTTATTAGGAAATTGGGGGAGGGGAACAGCATTGGGTAATCGGGGAAGGGGAACAGACAAGTTGCTGTCTCCTTGCTCCCCAGTCTAGTTGTGGAGGACGTCAGTTCACTGGCTCATGTTGGTATCATTGTGCTCTTCCCGGGTGAGGCAGATGGGTCGCTGGCCACTGGACGGCCGCTCAAGGCAGCTCTTGGCAGCTCACGCCAGCTGCCGGCCAGCCCCACTGCAGCCTATGCCATCGCCAGCAACTCATGGCAGCCCAGCTCCAGGTGGAGCTGTTGTTCACCATCCCAGCTGTAGAGGGCTCAGTGTCACTCACCTCATGTGGGATCTGAACCGGGGCCCTGCTGCTCAGAGCCGGCATCCCAAACCAGCTCTCAACCAACAAGCAATTCGGCCGGCCCAAGAAATATTTTAATTGAGGAAGCAGTTGACAAGTTTATTGAATGCCTACTCTTAAATAAGCAGAGAATTCAGTAGAGAAGTCAATAAAGGATAAAATTTATTTAAAAGCATAATTAGGGACCCGACTGAGAAGAAATAGCATGAACTTTTAATAGAACCCAGCAGCATGGTTTTGTAATTTTGCCCAGCTTCTGAAAAGTGATTACTGAGGGAAGTTAATGATGCTGCACAGGGCTGGGAACTGAAGTGGCGAGCGTGGCAGACAAGCATGGAGGAAAGGAAAGATGGGGTCTAGGGGCTAGCGAAGACGGTACTGTCATGGTCTGAGCTGAGCCATGAGATGGATGAATACTGAGAGCAGTTCAACTCTAAAGATGGTGATTTGGGCGTAGAGCAAATTATCAGAACTGAGGAAATAAAGTGCTTGCAATCAGAAAAGGAACGCTCTACATTTGAGACCTTGAAGTCAAATAGTTCTAAATAAAGCAAATTACAAAGTGCCCTCTCTGCAGTTTCAGAGGTTAAATAAGGAACTCTGAGGCCAAGGTATTAGAGGAGCCAGAAGTAAAAATAAATGAATGAGAGGGGGTGGAAAAGATGACTGACCAGGCACCCAAATCTTACCACAACAGGTGGGATGTGATGGTGGAGGTCATCCACACAGCAACAAGGATAGCGCTTGGATGTCAGGGTACAAACAGAGGTTGATGGAGGCAGCACAATAATCTAAAAATGATAATAGGGGTAAGAATTTTCGAGGCCGACTGTGTCTTCAGGTACAATTTGGATTTCAATTTAAGGTAAAGGATTGGAAGTTTGACTTGAAGATCAATCAAAGACCACAGGACACTTGCTTCACCATAGAACTAGGAGGCCAAGTCAGTAGGGAGTAACTGAGAGAGAAGCAAGGACGCACAGCGGGAAGTTGCAAAGGGTTAGTTGGAATCAGATATAAGAATTGTTCCCTGCCCTCATCTATTCTATCGCCTCTTTATAGGTGCCCCTTCCAATACTTAACATTACCTGTAAGGCATTATCCCCATTTTACAGGTGGGAAAAAAAATCTGGTTCTGGGACTTGAATGTTGCCTGACTGTAAAGTCTAAAGTCTTCCTACCTCGGTGGTCTTCAAGTGTTACTGTAGCTTTCAAGGACTAACTGGAAATCATGTCTGATTTACAGGAAATGGCTAAGAGATACAATGTAGTTCTTATTTTTTTATTGAGTATAGTTGACCTATAACAATTTATTAGTTTCAGGTGTAAAATGTGGTTCAACATTTGTGTATATTGCAAAATGATCACCACATTAAGTCTAGTTAACATCTGTCACCACACTTACAGATTTTTTTGCTCTTGTGATGAGAACTGTTATCTCTTCGCTTAGCAACTTTCAAAGCTGCAATATGGTATCATTAGCTGTGGTCCCCACGTTGTACGTCCCTGTCTTATTTCTTTATAATTGGAACTTTGTACCTTGTGACCTGTTTTGCCCTCTTCCCACCCCTGGCATTCTGTTCTCTGTGTCTGTGAGCTCATTTGTGATTACCATGAAGCCTCTGTGCACATTCGAGAGCCCCCCTTGGGGAAAAGGGGAGGGGGACAGGGTGCGGGGAGATTGGTTTTAAAAGGGAGTCAGCTTTTCAAGATGACCTCAGCTCTGTCCACACACTTCTCTTTTTTGATGACAGCCACTCTAACGGGTGTGAGGTGGCATCTCACTGTAGGTTTTGATTTGCATTTCCCTGATGATTAGTGATGTTGAGCACCTTTTCATGTACCTGCTGGCTATCTGTATATCCTGTTTTGAAAAATGCCTCTTCAGATCCTCTGCCCATTTTTAAATCAGACGGTTTGGGATTTTGCTAGAGTTGTACACACAATGTATTTTCTTGTGTTGCTCTTGAATTATATTCAGCTCTGGAAAATTCTGTGTGAGCTTGCATATCTAATGTATATTTAAGTCTTAATTTTTTTTTTCAAGAAAAACATCTTGGACTTTTTCTTTAATGATATTAAGGAACTTCCAAATATATCCTAGATGATCACATTGAATTTCTGCAACTATACCCTAAAACACTGAGTTAATATTTATATTGCTTTCTTTTTTTCAGGTGTGAAAATGAAACCAAATTCAAAGCAGAAGAAGTATTTTGGGCATACAATTTCTGCCCCACTCCATACTCCTGGACTGCACTCCTGGGCCTTATTTTATATCTCGTTTTCTTCGCACCTGGTATATAAGGCTTTCTTGTTATTGTATTAATTATATTGTCTCTTCTTAGAAGAGACAAGCTACTGTATTTAAAATTCCTTACATACTGCTTTAATGAACATTTTAATTTTGCATTTCTCAGGAATGGGACCAATGCCTTGGACTGTGAATTCTGAAATATATCCTCTTTGGGCAAGAAGTACAGGAAATGCATGTTCGTCTGGAATAAACTGGATTTTCAATGTTCTGGTTTCGTTGACGTTTCTACACACAGCAGAGTATCTGACATACTATGGTAAGAAGATATTTTTTTCCAACTCTAGTTTATTTTTATTATTCCGACTCAATTTTTAGATATGCTGTCATGTGTGATTCAAAGATGAGATCGTTATATTTTTGCTGTTACAAATATTTCTCTGTGGCATTCTTGTTCCCCTAAGTCTTTGGAACCGTACCTGGGAAAAGGTAAGAGGAATTCTCGTCTCCTAAGCAGCACTGTTTCTTGTCCCTCAGTGCTTTATAGCCTTCACTTGCCCACCCACTCACCCAACCCAAACATCCCCCGCTATCTCCCCAGTTGGAAGTCTTCACAGCATGGCGTTCAGTTTAATGGAGAATCATAACAGAGACCGGTAGAGAGATGTAGCAGGGGGTGTCGGGCTCATGCTTGGCGACGCATGACAGGGATAGAGGCATGTCCGAGCGCGGGATCAGAGTAGGTGCTCCCATTTGAGGGGTGCCTTCCGCTGTCTCATCTGTGCCGCTCAGGCCAGGGCGCATGCCTTTCGGTGACAGCTGACCACTGCCAGAACTGCAAACGTGACAGAAGTGTTCAAGTGAAAATGTGTGGGGACCGCAACTCAAAGAAAACAATATTGGGAAGTGGCTGAGTTCGGGAAACACTTTGGGAAGCTACTTCAAGTCCAGTTTTACTAAAGTGAAAAGACTGTCTTTTTAGCAGAAGGATTTCTGCATTGTATGAGTTTATAAGTTGTGACTGGATTCTGAATGATGAAATACGAGGTTTTCATTCTAATCTCCTCATAAGCCTCTGGGGTTTATATTGGAATGCTTACTGCCTAGACATTCTGATCCCTTCCCCCACCACTCACCTCACCCCATCTCAGGCTGTGGGCATTTATAATTTCTTTTGCAAAAGCAGGTTTGTCGGTGCCCCTCCTCTCCTCCCTCCTTCCCCCCCCCCCCC